TAGCGTGTATATATATATAATCTATATAATTATCTATATATATATATATTTAAATTGAAAATAGACCATTAGCTTCACTGCTGACCTCTCCTAGGACATCACTTTGAAGTCTCCCCTGTTTTGACACCTTGTTTGTGGAAAGCTCAGCGCTCACCTTACCAAAAACCTTATCCCCCACTACTGAAAAATCCATTTGCTGGGTATACACAATTCCCAACCCCGTGAATCCTGTACCTATAGCTCCTCCCTTTTATTGCAGAGATAAACCCATAATTTTTTGCCTTTCCCTGCTGCTTTTTGGCGCTTGCCTAAGGAGGTCATTTTTGCAGGTTTTTGCGAGAAATTCAGTGTAAAACTTGGGTTTAAAAGCGTTTTTTTTTTTAGCCGAAATCTGACTCATCTCCCCACGGCGCCCGGGAGCAGGGAATTGCTGTTTAAGCAGGCGGAGGGGAGCGGATTCCTGGGTGGTCCCTGCGACCACAGAAAGCAAAGCATTAAAATGTAACATGAGGATGAGGGGAAAGGGGCACCGAGCCACTTTCTCCCACCGTTATCTGGGAGCAGCAGATGGAGAGCACAGATAGCGAGGGTGCCTGCTCATTTCGCCTGCCCTCTCCAGCCAAATCCAGTAAATAATGAAGTGCAATTTGCCGTATAGTCTTTGAACGTCGTATTTACTTGATGCTTCCACTGTGGCAGGCGATCCTTGATTTATGGGGTGGGATTTAGGGGCAGGAATCGGGTCCCGAGAGGGTCGGTGTTGGGGATTTTACTGGTGCTACCTGAGCAAGGAGTCGTGCAAATCCATTCCTTGAGGTGACTGATGTAAGAGGGAGCTGCAAACTGAGGGGGTGATTTTTGCCTTTTGCTTGGTGGAAAGTGCAAAGACAAAGCCAGAAAAGTGGCTCTGGTTTGGGGGGAAGCGCATTTGCTGCACCCATTTGGGGATGCTTTGCAGTGTAGTCAATGCAGTCAATCAACCTCATTGGATGAGGTTGGATGCTTATTGAGTCAACCCCCAAATTCCCACTTCCAGAAAAAGCCCAGTATTTTGTTGTTTGCACTTGAGATGATGCCCACGAGTTTGGCTGTGGAGTGGAGCAGGGACCCAGACTGGGTCAGACTGGGAAGCAGTGGTTCAGGGCTCAGCAGTTGCACTGGGGATGTGCTCGATGCTGCTCGAAACCAGCATTTTGCAGGTTTAATGGCCAATTAAATCAGAGCCTAAATTAACTTAGAGCAATGGGCTGGGATTTCCACACAACAGAGAATTCTTTGACTTTTGATGCCTGCATCCAGACATGCAGGAAAACACCCGAAGATCTCGCTCATGTCGTCATTTTTCCAGTTTTCACTGAAAAATTTCCAGTGTGCTAAACCAGCCTCAGGTGGAAGATTCACATATGAGGCTGATGAAGTTCAGTCAGTTGAAATGGTGTTTGTATGAGGCTTTCCTTCTCCACGAAAGATGTTTTTCAGGAATGCTTCAAATACATGACAAAGAGCCAAACCTTTATTCAGTTGGTTGTTTTTTTTCCCCTCTACAACGGTTGCTTTTGTTTATGAAACTCTTTGGCTACAAATATCCGCCTCCTTCCAAATAAAGTAGAAAAAGGGAGGGAGGGGGGGAAGCAAAGAAAGGAAGAGCTTTGCTTCTCATCAGCGCTTACTCCAAGGCTTGGCCCCGCGCCGTCCCATGGGGGCTGAGCATTGTTCAGTGACTCACCCCAAATCGCGCCGCTCCGCGTGATGTAACTCTGTGCTCATGGGGGATTTTCCAGCTCTTTGTTTTCCCTCCCTTTTTTTTGGGGAGGGTTTTCTGCCACCTCTTCAGCCTGCCATCAACTTAACTTTTGCCAGGATTGCCCATGATACTTTAAAATTCGTGGTTTTTCCTCTTGCTTTTCTTTGGACTTTGATTCCCAGAGGTAGAGCAGTGATTGTTCACCTTGCTGTAGGACTCTTGACCTTCACTGGCACCTGGAGCTGCTCGGCTATCCCAAATGCCACGTGGGCTGATGAAGCCAGGCTGATGTCTGGAAAAGCCATCATTTAATATCGCCATCAAATTTCCACTAGCGCCTTCATGGTTGGCTTGTAAGGAGACCGCATAGCCTGGCTTACCTGACATGGCTTGTCTGTGCCCTTTAGGCACAGTTAATTTAGTTTTATTTTAGATTTATAGGATATATGGATTTATATGAGGAATTCTGTTGTCGGTGCCACGTCCTTATGGCCTCTTCTCTCTCCTGCTTTCTTCCAGATATGGAATGTGCAGATGTGCCTTTACTGACCCCCAGCAGCAAAGAAATGATGTCTCAGGCCTTGAAAGCCACCTTCAGTGGCTTCGCCAAGGAGCAGCAGCGGCTGGGGATCCCCAAAGGGAAGATGTGGCTTTCTCCGTGGTAGCCACAGAGGTGATGTCCTCCTGCCAGGTTGCCCTCCTCCACGTCTGCCACCTCTTTTGTTGGTGCACTTCAGGTATTGCCTTGTTTCTTGGCAGCCTCAGCTGGAAGAATCTGGATATATGGGCAAAACGTATATGCAAACTACACCTGTGTGACAGGTTGTGGTTGGCCGTCCTGCTGACCTCTGCTCTTGCAATTTTGGGGATGTTGCTCTTTGTGGAGGCAGCTCCAGGGCTTCTATTTGCAAATCATCTCCACTACACAGAGAGAAGCGGTGGGGACCCTTTACAAGAGGCTGATGATGGGGAGAAACCAAGCAAAGGAGAAATGGGTGGGAGAAGGGGTTGGAGGACTGGTGGGGTTGTTAAAACACCCAAACGAATCCAAAGCTGGTGTGAATTAGGGCTGACGCAAGCTGTAGGTACAGTGTTCCCCCACCACATTTCACCCTTATGCCAATGGAGTGTCCATGGCATGAAGCCCTGCAGGTGTTTGTCTACTGGGACAGCTCTGGCCCTGTGTCTTATTTTCCTGGGGAAACAGCTCGTCTTTGCTCAGTGATGGATCTTTTCTACTCCCTTTCGCCGCAGATCCCCAGCAGTGGACGGAGACGCACGTGCGGGACTGGGTGATGTGGGCGGTGAACGAGTTCAGCCTGAAGGGAGTGGATTTCCAGAAGTTCTGCATGAACGGAGCTGCCCTGTGCGCTCTGGGCAAGGAGTGCTTCCTGGAGCTAGCGCCTGACTTTGTGGGCGATATCCTTTGGGAACACCTGGAGATCTTGCAGAAAGGTGAGTCCTGGTGTCTCCAGGGTGAATGGTTCACCCTCTTCTGGTTTTGAGCCTTCCCAAAGACCTTGCCTTACTCTTGCTTTGCAACGAGGTGGTCACCGTAGGCTTTAATCCCAATAAAAGCAGCTTTCAAAGCTCAATTTCCCAGCAGGATTTCAAAGGGGCATCCCAACCGGTAGCGGGCGACGCGAATCCTGGCAGTGGTTGAAAGAGGAAGGGTGTTTGGGCCAGGACGATCTGGAAATGGCGGTGGGATTTTCCAAACCATTCTTCCTCCCCTCGTTCAGCTCCCGTCGTGAATTTTACTGCTTCCTCCGGTAGAATTGGGTACAACAAAATCCCACCCTCATTTCCCACACTGGGAGCTGCTTTGCTTTGTTTCATGTCCCTGAAAGTGTAATGGTGTTTTGTTAAGAGTGACTGTACCCCCATAGGAGAAGCCATCTCTGCCAATCCCCACTTAAGGCCATTAATATTCATCGGCTGGGGACACACACATTGATTTTGGGTGTTGATTTTCATAGCGATGCCCAAGCACCTGGGATGGTTTGGAAGAGCAGGTTAACACCTTTAAGCAAGGCTTTAACACCTTGAACTGAGCCACGAGCAAGAGCAAATCTGGGCCTTTTCTCCACCTATTTTTTGTGCAGAGCTCTTTGCTTTCCTGGAACATCCCTCGCTCTGTCAGACTGACCCTGCATGGCAGGAAGGGGAGGGGGAGCAAAGTTATGCCTTCCAGGAAACCATTGACAAATGGATGTTAATTGCTGATTACTAATTTTACTGCTACCTGTGGTCTGCAAAAGGTAAACACGGCTCTTCCCAGGCTGTTTTTCTGCTCTCTGGCTCTATATCTGCTCTGCTCTGCTCATTTTGCATGATTTTTATTGAGTGCTTACATCAACAGCAAGCAGTTTAACCAAACAAAGCAAAACCTTGAGGTCAGTCCAGCTTCTCCTTGCTGGAGAAATCTTTATGCCCATTGCAGCTCTTTTTGTTTTTTTTTTTTCCAAAAGGATGAAAAAGAATAAAGCTGAGTTTCTTTAATTTCTTTGTTTCAACACTGCTGACCCTGGGAACCAAGAAGTCTCGGTTCTGTGTTGAGTTTTGCTGGTGTTTTTGTCACTTCTTGCATAAGCTATCTGAGCCTTAGCTTCTCTGGTGGGATCTGCACACAGTTCCCAGCAGGGCAATATCTGTGAAGTATTTGGGGAGTAACTACGATGAGCTTCCAGGAATTAACCAACCTCACCCCACGGACTCATTTCTGTTCCCTGTAAGTCATGGGACTGGTCTTAGCGGTCGTACATCTCCAAACCCTGATGAGATCTGGGCTCTGTTGTGCTGGTGCTGTACAAATAATGTCCAAAATTGTCCCAGCCCCCTCTCTCCCAACGCAAGAGGAGATGGTGGCCCCCAGCATGGGGATGTAAAGAAATGAAGGTTTCCCCAGGCTTGCCCATGGTGTCAAGGTCCAACGCACCAGTCCCCATCTGTTCCATCTTCTCACCATCACCACTTGGGGATGTTGGTGCTGGGAGTGGTGGTGAACCCCAAAATGTTTGGTTTTACCTATCAGGATGTGACCGCCACCATAGGGTCATGCTGGGACAGGCAGTGACCTTGCTGTCCCTTCAGCTCCCTTGTGAGCCCTTTCTAAGCGTGACTCACGTACCACAGGCTCCTCGGCATTTAAAAACAGCAGCAACTTTTCCCTGCACGGATTGGGGTATTTTCAGGCATATTTTTCCCAAATTTCTTCCTAAAATAACCCTCTCAGTTACCAGCAGTGCCCTCCGCTTCGCTGTAAGCAGAGCTGAAGGTTGCTCTCTTTGTGGTCACCCACCCGGCCCCTTGGCAGACACCGTGGGGCGAGGAAAAGCGCATTTCTCATTAGGTCTGTTTGCACAAAACCTCCTTTTGTTGGAGAATATTTTCCACCCTGCGATCCCCAGGGGAGAAGGCCAAAATTAGGCTCCTTGCGAGCGAACGTGCGTTATCTTCAGTTCGCTTCTCTGTACCCTTAGCAGAAATAAACATGACTCGGAGTTGTCTGGGGGCTTTTTTGCTTTTCAGTTTGGTTACCCTCTGCGAAGAAAAGCAAAAGCTCCCATGCCGGTATCTCTGCCCACACACCGTGAGGTGTTAATGGAAAAACTGGGCAGGGGAGGAGCAATGTGGCTTGTGCATGGGAAAGCAAATTCAGCGCCGAGCCCGTGGGTACCAGATTGCTTGGAAAAAGCAGTGGAAAGTGGAGAATCCATGCTTTGGTGTGATTCTTGCTTTTTCACAGTGAATTATGCCTATAGAAAGGCTCAAATTTTGTGTGCTGCCCCTGTATACACCCTGAGTCTGTATCAGGAGTGGGGTGATAGCTCAAGAAAGCTTTTTCTGAGCTTAGGATCCCCTGCCTGTGTCAGCTGTAAGGGAAAAGGTGCTGAAGAATGGGGATTAGCATTAATTTGGGGTTGTAGGAGCTGGTTTTGGTGTGCATTACCCGCTCGCCTACTACCGGTGTAAAAATAGGGGCTTTTTCAGGAAAACAACTGTACGTCCTTGTACGGTGGGGTTTTTTCATGAGCTCGTACGTGATAAGCAGCCCTCAAGAGAATGAAATACAACACAAAATAAGGCAAGCAAGGAAATGATGCAATGAGTATTTCAGAACCACCTGGATTGAGAAAGCTGTTGCTGGTCTGGTTTGGTTTGGTTGAATTTGGGCATCCCAAAGGAACCCAAGTCCATCAAGCACTTATTTCAGTGGGATTGCAGCTCCTCACTCATTTCTGCTCCTGTGAATGTCCCAAATTAACCCGGAGAGGAGCATTTTAGGAAGTTAAGACCTCTCTGTGTTACAGCAAGTCTTGCGAAGCACCATCTGCCTGTGGACACGTGACATTTCCTTCCTTTTCTCTTTGCAGAAGAGGTAAAACCGTACCCAGCAAACGGAGCGAATACGACGTATCCAGAGTCCCGCTACACTTCAGACTACTTCATTAGTAAGTCTTAATTACCGGGACCATCCTGGTGCTTGCATACATGAAAATGCCACCTATTCGAGGTTTGTCTGCACCATGTGAGGACTGCACCATACAGTCATGGCAGGGCATGCAAAGTGTGTAATTTGGCCATAGTATTTTAGGTTTATTTAGAAGCTATCTTTATTTTGGGGGGATTAAGATGCCATAGTCTGGCTTTGCAAGTGCTATTGGTTTGAAGCACTAACTCAGTAGACCCGAAAAGCGACCTCAGCACCCCAGAATGTTAGGAATTTTAAAAAGCATATTAAAAAAGATGGGGTGTAGGGGAATAAGGCTGAATTCTGAACTTCTAGGTAGGAGCCTAGGAAAGAGAGAGATGAGTCATCAGTGTAGACTCCTGTATTCCCCGTTGCCATTGGTTTGGAGATGTTCTTAAAGGGCATTTGAAATCTGTGCTGCATTTCATGAACCAGCAAATAAAAACTCATCAGTGAAGCTTCTCTGCCCTAGATCTCATTTGCTGAATTTGCTTTTCCTGATTTTCCAGCTTGTTTTTCCCACTAGCAGCTTGCTTGAGAGGAGTTTGGCCTAATGCACAGCGATGATGGTTGAGGATACCTTATTTTTAAAAAAATGCAATAATAATAATAATAATAATAATAATA